CGCGCAAGTTGCATTTCGCCGCGCGCAAGTTGCATTTTGGGCGGTGTAGCAAGGAATAAGCCTTTCCCACGGTCCCGTACTCGGACCCCCGTGCAGTTTCAGGCGGGGAAACCACGACACATCGACAGCTGGGGGCTGTTAGTCTCATACACCCTCAATGTGTTGAGCGTACCATGTGCCTTCTTTAGGATGGAGGGTTTGAAAGACATTGAGTGAAACCAGGCGAATAAGCGACATTCAAGCACGACTGCCCTTCTCGAAATAGCTTCAAACAACAGAGCTACCTCCACAATAGGCTTGAGCAAGTGCTCATCTCCCCTACGGTGACCTTATTTTGCACAGGGGCCCTTCAAAAGCTCCTGCTAAGTTATTAGTGAAGTTTTACTGCTTACAAAACATAAAATGGAGGAAAAATAAGTGGAAAAGCAAGGAAAAGGCTAGTTAATTAAGTGCAGGGCTAATACTCACCAAAGCTGCCCTTGTGAATATTGTTATTCGTCCCATATTTATTCATCTTCCTGGCTTCACAGTACTTCTCTAGGCGATCCACTACAATGTCGTCCTGATCGGGGATCGATATCGAGTTCTACGAAAACAATCACTCAGCATCACAGTAAAAAAACAAATTGTTTTTTTTTGGGGGGGGGGTATCCAATTCGTTGAATACCTCCATTGAATCCCCCTGTTCCCAAGCGGCAACAATACAGTGAGGCCTTCAAAACTATTTGAATACCCACCATTGTCATTTCACCAACGATACTGAACATTTTTGCAAATCCAATCGGAGTCGACAAAAGCAATAACATAACACCGGCAAACGATACAAAAGAGTAGATGAGTGGCAGATTTACAGAAGTTATACTGATGAGGGAAACCTGCAATGGGCCACAGGCTAATTTTTACAAAATACAGCAACTACTAGCACTAGTACTTCGTACTCAAAAGACACACTGCACAATCATTTGAAAAGTTAATTCCTTCCTTGTGCAAAGTGGGCAAGTCCACAATCGCAGAATCTACCACGCTTGCTGGTTGAGACTGCATGGTAAGGAAGCTGGAAGCTCGGTATCGGTTGATCATTCTGCTGTCCTCCGCCCATTCAATACGCCGTACTACCACAACATACACGCTGCTCACCAGCGCCCTCTCACCGTGATGGTTTTCAGTTAGTTTGATTGAAGCCTATGAGGCCTCCTTCAAGGTACTTTCAGATTCTACACATGAAAGCACCTCGAAGAAGGCACCACTAGCATGAATCGAATCCTGAGCGATGCCAAACAGCCAAGTAGAGTAGCACTATTCGGCGGCCAGAATCTCCTCAACTTGTATAGAAGGGGTCTTCGCCTTTTAGCCTAGTCGTGCAGAGCCCCCTCCTCACCCTCATTCCCCAATTCCAAGGTAAGAATTTCGACACAGGCTTCGCCCCGACTTAGCGGAAAAGCGCCTACTCAACCTTGATCAGATCAGTGCTTTTCGAAAGCACTTCGATTTGAAGTACGTCAAATGCCCTCGGGAAGCATTTTAGCGGAAAATTCCTCCCCCCCCCCCATATCACCGTCGGAGTAGGCGGTATGCAATTCACTTGAAACAATGAAACAACGAAAAAAGTCAACAAATGGAAACATTTCCTCAAGGACAAACACGACCCTACCCCTCGCTGGGGACCCTCAGCGTCCCTGACTCGAAATAATGCTCAGTCATTACCAAATAAAACCACTTGCTGACCAAAACAAACGGTTAGAAGGGGCTATTGAAAAGGAAATGCTGATAAGCACTCACCGATGACGATAACAACGTCAACACAACATCTCCCAGACATAAAATAACAACAATGAGTAAAGCACATACTGCAAGCGTCTCGTAAACTCGTTGCATGATACCCTAAAACTACCATAATTGGAGGAATGCTAATTGTAATTGTTTATTACACAGGTAATCCTGTGTGGTGTAAGTAAGGAAAAAAAATCGATAACGCAAAACCAAAACCAAATAAACAGCAAAAACAGCTACTAGAACTTGATGCGTATGAATAAAACCACTACCAAAATTCGAGAGCGTGAAAAAAAAACTAGTATAAAACTGCCATGAAGCTCAAGAGAGGAAAACAATGAATACAAGTAAAACGAACTGTGCTTGAAAGGTATTATGACGTGAGATGTTTGTCTAAAGCAGCCTTGAAAACGCTTAGTTTGTTCGTGGTTACTCCCAAGCGTACCAGTCTGTTATACTCTGGGGCAGTCCTGTTAACAAAGAAGTGGTGCCTGATGTTAGTCTTAGCTCGACGAGTGCTCAGCTTTCTAGCACTACCTCTGGTAATTGAATCTCTGACCGCGAAAAGAGTGTTAGGTCTGATACCAGTGCGTAGGTGAAGAATCTTATAAAGGAAAACTAGGTCAAACTTTTTTCTTCTAAGAGCTAGGGTCTCCATATTGAGGTTAAGGTTCCTCACCACACTGGCAGGTATTTGTTCATACTTGTATCCTACCGCTCGCACGAAAACCTTTCTAGTAAAGTTATTTTGTACCCTTTCTAGAAGCATTTATACTTTTTCTTTTATTCGGATTGTAAACCACTGTCCCGTACTCCAACAGAGGTCTAATATAAGTCTTGTATGCTTTGCATAATACGAGGGAATCCCTGGTTAGGAGTGACCTGAACATGTTTTGTAAAACCACAGTTGCTTTAGCTGCGATTTGAGAACAGTGCGCATCGAAAGTTAGGTCGCTCCGAATAAGGAAACCTAGGTCTCTAATTTCTTTAACCTCATCAAGACGTACACCTTGAATCGAATACGAGGATGTGCTACCAACTTTCCCTATCCGTAGTACCTTGGTTTTCTCACTAGATAATGGTAAGCCCCATTGCTTTGCCCAAATGCTAACCTCATTTATGACCGCTTGCAACAGCACTTTGTCCGAGTCTGATGAGATAGGATGATAGATTTTGAGGTCATCAGCGAAAGCAACGCACTTGACTCCTTTAGAGACAATGAGACGAGGTAATTCAAAAGTAAATATGTTAAACAGAAGTGGAGACAGGACACCCCCTTGCGGCACGCCACTGAGCACGGGCCTAGGTTCTGAAAACTCCGCATTTACGCGCACAAGATAAACTCTATCAGTAAGAAAAGATTGTATCCACTTAACAATTCTGGGATGAACTCCAACTAGTTCGAGTTTAGTTATGAGTTTATGGTGAGACACTCTGTCAAACGCCTTCGCGAAGTCCAAATAAATCACGTCCACTCCAATGTCATTATCAAGAAGCATTGTCCAATCATTCAGAGCCTGGAGCATGCCTGTTACTGTTGATTTCCCCTTCTGGAAGCCGTGTTGGTTTTCAGAAATTATTTCATGCTGCTCCAAATGTGCCATGAGTCTCTTTTTAAGAACTTTCTCGAACAATCTGGCGAATATTGAGGTTATGCTAACCGGTCTCTTGAAGCTTAGACGGACAGGAATAAGGCGGCTTCTTAGGGATTGGGGTTACAAATGAGACGCGCCACCTCTTCGGCACTTCAGCTCTCATGAAACTCAAGTTAAAGAGGAAGGCAAGTGGTCCACATAATATGTGCGCTACTTTCTTAATGAAAACCAGTGGGACATGATCAGGTGTATCCGAGTGGGATCTAGGCCATCGGATCAGTAATTTATATATTTCCTCCTTGTCGAACCAAAGTGAATCACACATCACCGGGAATGTCGGTACGGCACCTAGTTCCAAAGAGTCATCCCCTTTCTGGAAGGACTTCGCGAATACGTTAGCCAGAAGCTCTGCTTTGTCTCTATCTTTGCATACTGCAATCCCATCCTCCCTGAGAAGAACCCCTAATCCTTTAGTTTTCCGCAGCCTTGAATTGAGTAGCCTATAGAAAGCGTTCTTATTCTTGGAAAAGATAACTTTTCTTTCAACATGATTATGGAACTTGCTCAACTTTTTCCCAAAAGTAGTTCTCAATTTATTGTATTCGTCCCAATGCGCTTGATTATCACTCGACACTGCCTTAGCCCAAGCTGAATTCTTTTTGCGATTACATCTGATCAAGTGAAGTGGAAGCTGTACTCCATTAGTCTTTTGAGGCTTGAGTGGAACAAATAATTCGATGGTATGATGTATTATAGCTAGAAACAGCTCATATTTCTCATTAAGTGAATTAACGTTTTGGAAGGATCCATACCAGTCTATAGTACAGAGATATTCGTTGATTTTATCGAAATGTGCGTTACCGAAGTCACGAACAAACTTTGTTTTGCTATTTTGCTCCGCCTCAATGTGATATCACAAAGCGACAGATGCATGATCACTACTACCAATTGGTGTTTGGATCATTGTATTACTTATGAGTTGTGAATTATTAGTCAGAATGAGATCCAAAATATTAGGTCCATGAGTAGGCTCCAATACGAGCTGACGGAAATCAAGACTTGTACACAATTCTATGAAGCGTGAAGCACGTCCGCTATTCGCCTGAGGCCTACCACCCTGACACCACAATAGTTCAAATCACCAAGTAAGACGACAGAGTGATTGATGCCTGCTAAATCGCCAATCGCTTTGAGCAGTTGTTCAAACATCGCAGCAGAACACGACGGTGTTCTATAAACAAGGACCAACCTAACGCTAGATGACGCTATGTCAAGGTCTACGCACATAATTTCATATGCATCGGCAAACGATTCACTGAATATTACCCTAGGGAAAAAGATCTTCTTGGCAATAATAGCGATGCCGCCACCACGCCTTTCATGCCTGTCACATCTGAGGACTTCATAATTGGCGCACAGTTCCCCAAATAATGACTCGCGGTACTGATAAACGTCGGACAACCAGGTCTCCGTCAAGGCTACTACTCCAATATTAACATGCCGGATTCGGAAGAGTAAATCATCAACATTCCTTGAAACTGAGCGTATGTTAGCTAGTAGCCACCTTAGACAAACATCTGACAATTGGAGGAATGCTAATACATGATAAAAAGAATGAAAGAAAATGCAGAAATCATCACTTACATTATTGTTCTTACTGAAACCCTGCGATTCAATGAAGAAATAACTAAATGGTAACAATACGAAGAGACTGAGATTCGAAAGTGCAAACACGTAGTTCCATAAGCTATTTATTAACGACCACGACATCCACTGAAAGTAAAAATGAAGATAAGACGCGGGGCTTTTGAGATTTTAAAGGAAGATTTGAACAGGTAGGAAGCATGGCGCTGGCGTGGGGTGGCATTCTGCAATTTCGTTGCTTCACTAATTTCGATTTACAAGTCTCACTCTGGTAAAACCTGTTAACTCTTGTAAGCTCATGAAATGCCCCTCCTAGCCCCAACCCATTATCGCCCCTGACGCGAATGCTGCGCTCGTTACGCCACTTGCAATGTCAATTTCGCTGCGGGTCTCCTGGCCCCCAATATTTTAGGGATCGCCCACTCAGCCGCTGAATCTTATGAAACAAACTTACAGTTGTTACCTGTTGAAGTCAGTCGGGGTATGTGAGCAGGGCATAAGTTTTGGCGCGGCGCCAGTCCATTTCCATCGACCTTTGGGGCTTCCGCCATTCAATGATTGGTGGAAAAGGGGCTGGCGCCGTGCCTAAACCCACGCTCCACTGTCAGGCCCCGACCGACTTCCGTGATAACGACTGTGCATCCTCTATACTGATAAACTACTAACCTGCAAGTAGTAGTTGTCCGGATATCGTTGAAGCAATTCTGCGCTAACAACTGAAAATGGTAACAGTGCTATAGACCCGATTGACACTGCTAATGAGGCAGAACACATCCATACACTGAAACCGCATTACTTCGGAAAAAAAGAAAAGGAATGAAAACAACTTTAAACATAATTAAAATGACCGCAGAACTCACCTAATTCTATATACAAAGTAGTCTTCATCACCGGCATATAATGAGTCGTTGTCAGATTTCGATTTGAACAATGAAATGATCCAATAGGATAGCAGATATAGTGAAATGAAGATTATTAAACATATCTGAAAAATAAGATAAAAGCGGCATAACTTGAGTGTTCTCTGGCTTCTTTCCATGCATCTCGACATGTTGGCTCATTCTGCTAGCTTACAGTAGAAACGTGGGCCAAAGTTTAAAGAAAAGGGCTCATCACTCTAACACTTACCAGGGAAGTCCGCCAACTTACCATGGAACTTTGAATGGAGACCTGGGTAGATCGATAGTCTATAAGGTTATTTACAAATATAGATAGCAAAACTGCAACCTGCATTTCACAAGCAACTTATGAGCAGGTAAAGTTTGTAATGGTGCAGTAGGGTGGAGGCTTGGTGGTGAGCTGTGAAGCATAAGCGAGGAATCGCATACGTCGAATCGAGTCGTCGAACGTCGAACCTTACCACTGAACCACCACTACTCGATTGACGTACTTCCTACTGCACCAATACAAATATCTGTTCAAAAGTTGTAAATAACCTTATAGTCTCTATCGATCTAGCCAGATCTCCATTCAACGTTCCATGGTAAGTTGGCGGACTCCCCTGATTAAACATTTAGGCATACAATATAGCTACACTACAATATCTTGAAGTGCCTCATTAATATTAGTATTGTTGTGTCTTTCAACGGTTTTCGGTAGAAGAGATTATCCATATCCTATTACTCCGATCTAATCGTCTCCTCTGGAGGCCAGGACTGCACCGTCCAAGTGTATGCTCATACTCTGCGCTTCAGCGCACGGCAACGTATGCCAGCGTACGGCAGCATTTTCAGCGACTAGGAAAAGGGCCAGTCCCTGAAAACGCTACTGTTCGCTCAGAACGGTGTCGTAAAGTATGAGCGCACTCTAGGGTCGAAATGGTTTTTTTTTATGAACGGACCTCCACCGGCAACAAGTCGCACAATTTTCATGTGCACGGTGGAACACTGGCATTTCATCTATTTAGGCCTTAAGGCTGCGTTCATACTTTGCGTCAACATTGAGCGTACGGCAGCATTTTGAGCGAGTTAGAAAGTATTGATATCGAAGTAGCGTTCTGAGTGTACGCCAGCGTTTTGAGCATTTTCGCAGTTTTAAGCCTGAGCTGGTGTACACCGAAGCCTATACTTTCTTAGTCTCTCAAAACGCTAGCGTACGCTGAAAACACCGACGCAAAGTATGAACGCAAGTTGCGTGCTTGTGTTTACCGAAAAAACATGAAGGCCACAACAACAACAAAACAATACAAAAGATCCGGAAGGTGCAATCTCCCAAAAGTGAAATCACTCACAATTTGTTGTCGTATAAATTCATGAAATTCTCTTTCTTGTCGTCGAATTGCTTCAAGGCGGGCTGCTTCTTCCTCCTCGGCCGTCGGACCGATCAGCGCCCGCCAAAGTGCCCAGCCCGCTGCACTCAGTGCTGCGCGTAACGTGTTCACAATGCTGAAAATAGTTTGGATTGGCAGTGATATACTACAGCTACAAATGAGATACAGTAGTAATTGAGCTCAAGAAAGGCAGTGCGGAAAATTAAATGGGACCGGACGAGCGAGAAGAAACTCAAATCAACTTCGATTCATATTGAGAACACTCGGAAAATGTGAATAATGGCTAACTTTGTTAACAGAATCACTTGAAAACTTTATTAGAACAACCATAAATTCATACTGTTATTGTTTGATAACTGCTGTTGCATAAATTCATAATTCTTCTCCATCAATTCAAAGGGATGGATCGGCGAAGACTTTATCCTTTTACTAGTTACTGTAGAACGAAAAAAGCTAAGCTGACGTGTCATAACAACTGCCCCTCCAAAAAGGATGGGAAGAATGAAACTCTTTCCAAATATATTTTCTGAGAATATGGCAAGATAAGCATTTGAGACTTGCAAAATCAATGAGAGGACACTTACTCAAAACTTGAAATAAGATGGGCACAGTTCAGCCATGAGGGGGGGGGGCATTTAGCTTGTCGAGCCATCAAGTGCAGACCCGTGAACTTTTGTCCAGTAATCTGTCAGCTCTTGTAAAGAATACCTGTCAACTCTTGTAAAGCAATGAAGTACCATAAAAATACATTTGCGATGGTGGCTCGACGAGCTTGCTCCAACTTTACGAGAGGAATTCACAGGTTCCACCAGAGCCAGCCCTGTAAACCGGGATTAGTGAAGCAGCAGGTAAGTGCAAAATGCCCCTCCCCATCGCCGAACTGTGCCAGAAAATGTTGCACTGAATTTAGAGTCTGCCTAGGAAATGTCAACAAGCTGCCACTCAATGATGACAAACTGTCCTGCTAAAAGAGAAAAAGCGCTGACAGAGATATCTAGAGTAAGTTACACTCTACTACAGGTGTAGGTAAAAAATCTCGTCCTAGAAGCTATATTCTCTCTCTCGTATAAGGCTCAACTACCAGTATGCTCGCAGAGACGCACGGACAACGCACGCGGAGAGTGCTCTTCACCTTTTCGCTAATTTATATATTCTACTTGTTTTCATATCAAATCGCTATATTATATATAGTCCGCTCCGCACGTCGTAAGGCACGCCCAGCGCAATGGGCTTTTCGCCCGCCAACCCCAACCCGCGCGGACACGCCCCTTCATCCGCGGCGAACAAGACTCTGGATCGTTCACGAAGATAAAAACAAACGAAAACCCGTAGAAGGAAAGAAAAACATTTGTGCCGTATACCCACAGAAATAATGTTACTTCCAGAGATATTTCACGTGAAAGAGCAAAGAAAACTAGAAAGGGAGCAAGTTCGCTATACACTTCCAGGAACCATCATCGAGGAATAACAAAAACTGTACTATTGATGGCTATCTGTACAGTGCTGCACTTAGACTGATAAAATATGGTCAGTCGAATAGAACAATCCGATTGTTTTGGAGCAGTGCGTTTACCCACGATGGGAAAGGCAAACAGTGTAAAAGCGAGCGCCACACGACACTTTTCAAGCTGCAGAGAGAACAAATAAAAGAAAACAAAAACGTAAAAACGTATCACTTACTGAAAAGCAACACTCATGGCTTGACTGTCAACGAAAGTAAAAAAATGTGGCGCAGTTCGGCGACCCGGGGGGGTATAATTTTGCACTTTTGCTAATTCCCATCGACGCCTAGAGCACCTAGAGAACTGAGCTTACAAGAATTAACAGGTTTTACCATGGTGACTCGACGATCTTGCTCCAGCTGCACAGGAGTGTACAGGTTTCAACAGAATGAGACTTGTAAACCAGACCTAGTGAAGCACAGAAAGTGCAAAATGTCCCTCCCTGCGCCGAAAATGCACCGTCATTATCGCAATGGTCAAACCGTCATGAAAATTTTGAACGCAGAGGCAACACATGACATATAAATGCAGACTTTGGCAACATCAGGTCACTGCGCCAATCATAGCCATGGCAGTCATCAATGGCAAAACAAGTGCTGGCAGTGAGATTGGCCCTTCGATAAGCGTTTTACGTAGTTAAGCCATCGATGCCACTACGAAACTAGTCCTACTCTGATTCTGACACCCAAGAGCGTAAAAGTAGACAAAACCCGCCAACTCCATCGAACGCCCCGTTACATGGTCAAATAAAAAAGGGGCGGAATTTCACCCTTTGGTCCTGCTCGCCGTAGAAATCCCAGGAGGAATCATAGGATGAGACCCAAGCCCGTTTTTTGCACCATGTGATCCGGGTGTAGAAGCTGCTCGGTTCCTGAACAGCTCTATTTTCGCGCCTTTCCTGGGTGTCAGAATGGTCCCTACGGCTAGTTTTGTGGCGATGTCGAAGAATTTCGAAGAGCAAGGGATTAGATCTCTGCCTCTCGCTAGCCTAACATAGCAAGGACGTTGAAACTGCTCGATTTTTCTGATTCGAACCAAAGCCGGCCCAGATTCGAGGTCTAGCTGGGGTCAATTTCTTTGCTCAATAACATAGATTCTTTTTCTTTTGTACTATTCGCGAAAAGCTTTCGCATCGCGAATAGTGACAAACAGCACTCATCGTAAGTAAAGAGGCTCAGTTCGGCGCGGTGGGGGCACAAAAGGGTACTCAGCTAAGTTTGACCAGGCCACCTTGTAAATTCCTGTAAAATGTGGCCCAACCATACGGCTTTGCAGCACCGCAAAAGTTCGCAATCTATTCTTGGTCAGCCTTGTTAACAAAAGGAACTTGTGAAAGTGCAACACACCTCTCGTTTCCTCTCCTCCCCCCCTAAGCCGATCAGTGCCAAAAAATATTCTGTTACTGCCTAGCCGTCTGCTAAAAACACTGAAAGGAGTCACACTGCTGTAAACTGCACGGAAAAATAACTTTTTCAGAAGAAAAGCCTCCACTGACAGTGACAACCGCTGTTAAGAACTGCTGGAAACGTTATGCTTCGATAGCCGTTCAACGGACAAAACGTGAAAGCACTCCAATTCTCACTTCTTGAGATTCCCAGGTCAGGAAATGTTCCAAGAAGTGCACTCTATTGTGGAAAGCTAATGAAACGCTAAAGCAACCTTTCTGCTCACCAACAACCATGGTCGATCACTTGGCGAAAACTAATCTCACCATTAACCAAACAGAAAATCCGAAAACAAATGGCAACGCGAAGGAATACTGTCAAAATGTCAATCAAACAGAGACATATCATGCGACCGAAAGCGCTGCAATCTCGCATTCCTCTCAGAGATTTTGCGTCGCCATTGAAATGCAACGTTCGTCAAAAGCATAAAAGCAGCGCTTTCCGCAACTCAATCTGCAACTATGGCTAATCAGAACCATTCCCTCTACGGTTAGATTTGGGAAGATAATCAACCCAACTCTATAAAGATGAGCGTGACGGGTTCAACTTGACGCACCTTATTTTTTTAGCTATATGAGGGGCAAATTTTCAGGCACTGGCGATGTGTAGAGTTCGACGGATCGGGCCAAGTCGACAGCATTACGAAGTCGCGTTCCACTCGCTCCTCGAGCCGCTCTGTGACCTTGCTTATGCCTAGCCCAGCGTCCAGGAAGAAACGGCTCTTCATAGCGCCCCCCCCCACATCAACTTTAACTCATTCAAAGTGACTACTCAAGCCTAAATTCAAAATAGTCAAGCAATTTGGGAACTAGTCTACCAGGAGGGGGCACGGCACCTCGTTCAGTCGTGTCAACAAGCCAAACTGTTTTATAAAGTCCTGGCAACTACCATGAAGGGATCGAACTCGTGTACTGAAGATAGATTTGCTTGTTGTAAGGTCACAGAGCCTAAGCAAGCGGAACACACCGAAAGGTTTGGCGAATCGGGAAGGTGTACGGGTTGGCAATATAAGCCGGGAAAGGGTCCCCTCAGCCTACTGTCACAAACTTCACGGCAAAACACAGAAAAATCATTCGGTGAGGTGGATCAGAGAAAATCTCTCTCATAGGCACAGGCAAAAAACGCCTAGCTAGTCCCTTTCAGTTCATGTTCATTTCTGTGCACCGTTCTCGCCTTTACCCTATAAGTGAACAACTTGTCCTGGTTCTCAGTTCTCAGTGTCTTGGGTGTACTGCACATGCCCCACCTTGCTAGAGCGCCTCCGCTAAATATACCGTATCAAGAAGAAGTATAAGAGCAGATCAGCTCTTATGAAAATGATTACCCAAAAACGCCTCTTAAGAAACAGAAATAGCGCTCCACATTTAGGAAGAAGACCAATACGAACAAAAGAGCAAGAAATAGAAGTGAATTGCAAACGTCTGAGTACAATGTTCCACTTCACAGAGCCAATATTTCATAGACGAGCGCTTTCATGTCTGTTAGCCTTTGGTGTTCCAGTTCTTCGGACCCTAAACCAATAACTGTATTAACGATGAGCTTTCTGTCCTATGCTCTTCAACACCGGGGGTGCGGTTCGGCATGGTGGGGTGCCAGGTGGTATTCAGCTAAGGTTGTAAGACCAACCTATGAAGACATGTGAAATCGTGCAAATTCATGAGAGTGCAACCTGATAACTCGCTGTTTTTCAATAAAAAGCCTTACACCTATGAAAATATGAGACAACTTTCCATCGTGCTAACTCCCTTAAATCATCCATAGGGCTTCCTGCAAAAGTTTGATTGGCAAGAAAGGAGCGAGTTGGGCACATTTTGGCGCAGGGACACCAGATGATGGTATGGGCACGTTGTAGAGGTCAGATTGTGAAGATTCAGAGTCTACAGGACTCATCGAAGTAGATCTGTCCCTCTACGTAATCACACTGAAGGAGCAAGCCAAAGTGCAAAATGTCCTCTCCAGGCCGAAAAGCGGCACATTGGTTCTCAACTGTCAACCAATGTGTCACCAATACAGGTGTCAGCCAAAATTCGTGAGTCTGGAGCGTCGCTCGTCGTTCCTCCCCGCATCGGTTGGTTGGGCAACAGGAAAAGAGGAAAAGAAGATGGAAAGAGAGGAGTAGAAGGGAAAGGGAAAGAAGGCGAAACTCTGCAATGGGCGAATATCCTGAGAAAGCTTCCCACGAGCAGTCCGCCATATGGTGACGATAAAAGCCAAAGTGCCA